CGAAAAACTGAGTAACCAGATCCTTAAGTGGGAGAACATACTATCTGAATCACCAGCTTATCACCAAAGAAAAAAGACTTGTACTCTAGAAGTATATACCAAGAAAAGGGAGACTATAAAGCACTTAGAGCTTGGGCAGACTGACTCTGGAAGTAAGAAAGAGACCAATAAAGAATTTAGAAAAGAAGAAAGTTGAAATATAAGTACCAGAGTTGTTGTGAGCCTTGCAAGGACAGAGAGTATATAATGAAAAACTAATTAAGAAGGTTGTGACTTGAAATACAAATCGGGTTATAGTAGTATTCAAAAAGATAGCTTGAGACATGAACCTGGTAGTAATAGTACAACAGGTACTAATTAGTAGAAAGTTATTAAATATGCAAGTAAGTATATATATAAAACATATACTATTCTGTTAGGTTTACTATAAGAATATATAAGTACCTTTCTAGAAAACTAGACTAACCAAAGGCTAAAGTCTTAGAGTCTTTAACAACAAATTATCCTAAAAGGATATATTTGAAAAAACATAGTGCAGAGGTTAAAGCCAGAGAGTTTAAATAAATAGCTTTTTAGTTAGGCTATAGATATAATAACTAGTATAAAACCTTAGGGTGGACTACTTAAATTAGACAACCAAAAGTTGTATATGTGGCTAGTTGTACTCTCATAATACCTTTGTAATATGTTATTGATCTACTTAACTAATAAACTTGTTAATACTAATAAAGTATCAAGGGCCTAAGTAATCACCTTAATATTAAAAATATATATATATATACTAGAAAAACAGGTGCTGTTGTAAATCCAGAGCAAATTAAAAAAAATTATCACTTATGTAATTGGTCACATGGGTGGACAAACAGACAAAATTCTGCTCAGCCCTCTAGTATGCGCGGATCTGCAGATCATATATGATCACGTAGGTGGACAGACAGACAAAAATTGGCTAATAACCTGAACATATAAGTCCTCTGCTTCACTCTAGACAATAAAGAAGAGAAGAGTATTCTGGCACACCTAAGCTGCATTGCTAATTAAAAGTTTATAAATTAATATTTATTTCTAAAATTCATTTAACTAATTTTATGTTTGGATATCTAATAATGAAAAAAAATTTGTTTATTGTGACTTTTTTGAAAGCAATTTTTCAAGTTATTTTATTAGGTGGGGGTATTTCGGCGCACTGCAAATATAGTAATATCTACATACTGCATAAACTTTATAATTGGCCGAGTTTACGTACAAATAATAAATTACTAAATGAAGCAGATTCTTAAGGGGCGCTGGGCGTGCCGAATACTCTTTAGTTAATTAGAATTTTTTTATTAACGTTGCTTGAATCTTGCGGCCAAGAGTTTCCAAGAGTTCTAATTAAAGTGATTTAACACCATTCGATTCGTCTTGATAAGGCGAATTAAATGGTGTTAAAATCGTTCGTTTCTGGTTATTGTATTACGAGAAACTTTAAAAAAACTTTAGTGCGCCACATTACCTCCCGCGCCAGAATACCCAACTCTCCCTTATACTGTATAATATAACAGATGGGTCAAAATAAACTGTATTCACATTTGAAGAAGGGTAAAAAATACCTGTTTTTTCCCGGCCATTCAAAAGTATCGTTCTTGATTTATTTCCAATCAAAAGATATTTGAAACAATGGTTCACGTTAAGTAATTTTTTCGCGTTGGATCGACAAGCTCACATACTTGTTTTGTTCCAGATATTCAAATGCGAAACACAGATTCTGTTATATCATTGGACAATGCTATTTCGATTTGACACATTGTTTCCTATTATATAAATAAGACAACTTTTTTCGTTCATGCCAAAGATTTTTTTTTACGATCTTGGCTTTAACAGTTGTCATAGAATATCAACATTATTATCACTTTTAAACGATATATATATATCTTATAGTAAGTTGACAAAGGCCCAAAAAAGATACATACAGTATATCGAGAAATGGCAACACGAAATAAGCGAATTATTGATGTCGAGCTTGACGAAATTATGCTAAAGAAAACTTGTCAAACCATTGTGCACTCAGCAGATTTAGAGTTAGTTGAGGAATTCCCTTTGTATATGTTAATAGAACGCAGGGTTATGAATTAAATGACAATTATTTATAATAAATAAAGGACAATAACGATTAAACAAGTAAGAAGGGATGCCGAAGTTAAACTCGGATTAACTGCTAAATTTCTAGATAAGCAACCTTGGAAGGACCTTATACATGAATTTGTGACGGAGGCGATCCAGAAATCGGTGAGTAGAACGAGTATATTCATTCTTTATGATATTATGACGGCCGACCGATTTTCTGTAATCATTATTACAGAAATCAGAGGACGTATCTGTCGCATATTCATCAAGACCAAAATCTAGAAGAGCTGGTAAGAAAAGTTCAGCAATTCAATCGAAAAAGATTTGACAAAATTTGGTTCCTCAAAAGCGTCCAACTAACAGCAAATCTAAGAGTATGACACCCTATCTGAAAAAAATTATCTGTGTTATTAAAAAATTCAAGATAGAGTTTATATAGTGCTAAAATATCTAAAGAAAGGCTTTAATGGTGTGAAAATTTTAATCAATTAACGGATGAAACTCCGAATTCTTCGGTGCTTAAGAATCAATATCAATAACATCTGATTTGAAATATACTATATTGATAAAATAAAGGGCATTTAATTCAGAATGGAAGAGAAAGGACCTGGAGAAACAAAGAATCTCATACAGTTTAATGACAATGAAACGAGCGATAATAGGACGGCGAAAAATTGAGACAATAAAAAAAGGATGATAAGGTTAATTTAGAGGATTCATAATTTTTTTTGTGTCTGAAGACGGCAATTATTATTTTTCTTTAGATATTTTTTTTTAATTTTTCCTGATAGTGCTATATAGTTCTGCATAATTAAAAGTTATACAAAAAAAAAATTCTTTTCTGATACTGTTGTTTGGGTGTCTTACTCTTGGATTTACTGTTATTTTGACGAAATCTCGAAGAAATAAACAAAGCAATCTAAAAGACTATTTATTTAGAAGACTCTAAAGACGATAGCATTGTCGAGGATGGCGGATCAGTAATGGCTCTTGAGAACAAAGTTGCACGAGAATCGGACCAAGGATTAAATAAATCCCGGACGAAAGAGTTCAGAAATGACAAACATGCAAACAGTAGTATGGAAGAAGATAGCGAAAATGATATTAACAGTGAATCAAAGCGATCTAATGATGCGGAGATATCCGACACTGAGCATGAAATAGTCAAAAAAAAGAGAAAGGAAAAATCCACTACAACTAAACGTGTAAGTTTTAATAGCGGAGATAGTCACAACGAGCTTGAGGATGATCCACCAAAGAAGCGCAAAACAAAAAAAGGAAAAAGCGCGCCAACTGTTTCGGTAATAATTAAATGATAATATTTTCTATTATTTTTCATGCAATTGATATGTGACTGTTTTGGTTTTAGTCCAATAATGATGATGATGAAGCAACCATCAAAGAACTGAAAGCGTTTATTGTAAAATGTGGAGTACGTAAAGTTTGGTATGTTTTAAGTTTACATTCATCTGTTCGATGGCATAAAATTAATATTTGCTGATATTAAATTATAGGTCGAGAGAGTTAGCTGATTGTGACTCTATCTCAAGTCAAATCGATAGATTAAATAAAATTCTCAGCGATTTGGGAATTAAAGGTTTTGTTTCTTGATAATTAATGGTTAATATATATGTCGGGTTCTACCCCAAAATCCTGAAAGAACATAATACCGACTAAATTAGCCAGCATTATAACTAATGCTGGCTAACTTTGTCGGTATTATGTCCTTTTTCGAGAATCTGTCTTTCGGAATTTTGAGGTAGAACCATATGCGATATCCCATATTGGAATTGTCCCGATTCAGAATCGGGCTGCCCCAGATGAGAATTTTGCAGAATTAGAATTTTAGGGTTGGTGTTAGGTTTAAAATATAAAAGGCTACTTTTGGTGGTATAATTTGAATAAAACTTACAATATTCTCATCCGGGACTGTCCTGATTCTGAATCGGGAAAATTCCAATCCGGTGCAACATATATTTTTTCAAATTAATATTTCATATGTTTTTGTCTTAGGTCGACCAACTCTAGAAAAATGTAAGAAGATTCGTAAACGACGGGAACTTGAGGCAGAACTGAATTCGATGGATGTAGGTAATATTGTTTCTGATGACATTAAAGAGGGTCGTAAAGCTCGTGCTTCCAGGGGCATATTTAATCCTACTGGTCGTCGTATAATTCGCGCAAAACGTCAAATAGAGGTATTTGTTCATGATTCCATATCTACTTAGTAGGTTCAAATTTATTGGTGAATTTTACTGTAACAAATTAAGGCTTATACAATGTATAATTTGGATAGGATGAAACTGATGACGGTGCTTCCGACCAAGATTCTGAGTAATGGTAGAACAGTGCAACTATCATTGATAGTAAGAAGGAATTATTGTTAAACATTTAATTCGTATGCCATGTATATTTTATGATTTGAATCTTTTAGCATTGAACATAAAAGGCATTATTGTTACACTGTTTGTATATAATTATATGTATTGTATAAAATAAATCAATTGACTATTATTGCCCTTGTTTATAAATAAAGTTTTTTGCATATTAAACACTAAATTGAGTATTTATCTAAAAGGTGTGTGAAATTTAACCTTTAACTTATAATATGCTTACTGTGAAAATACACCTACACCAGTGTTGTCACTTTAATTTTTGGCCGGCCAATGGCCGCAGCCATTGGCCAAAACGGGCAATAAAATTATTTGGCCGGTTTGGCCAAATATATATTATATATAAAATAAATTGGATAAGTCTATTTGTAACAACGAGTTACTATACTTAAATTCTCTATAACACAAAATTTTACGAGGATACAACTAGCCACACGTGTACTTTTGGTACCTAATTTAAGTAGTCCGCCTGGGTTCTACACTAG